ATACACAGACACTATCGTCCAATGCGCTTCTTGTAAACTAATAAGTACCAACAAATATTTTTCTTATAAATTTTCCCAAGCGTCTTGGACGATGATGCCAAATAAAATAATGATATAGTACTTTTCAACATAAAAATAAACTAGGCAGCCTAGGCACGCTCAAGTGTTTATTTACCAGTATTGTTTATAACGTTCCCCCACACTAGGATTTTCTCCTGTATCGTGGAGGCAGTTTACAAACATAAATTGCACAAGGACTAACATCCAAACCCGAAACAATTATTGTATTTGTAGGCTATACAAATACTTGTTCCGTGCGGGGATCAAACCCGCGGCCCCCAGGGCAGCCACTCATTGCCAAGCCAGTGCACCACGGAGCCGTCACTTCGTCAAAGTATATCTGTTACACACGTGATCCCTCATACGGCTCATACCTATAACAAAGATGTATGCCCACTTTCCATACATTGATTGACCTGCCACTTGATTCGTTTTACAAGTCGCGTCTACCTACAACTATTGTTGCATAAAATCTATTATTGTTTATAATAACATAATAACTTATCACCTTTTTATTTAGAGACCAGGGAAAATGCTATAAAGTAAATAAGTTTTTCAGGTTATAACCTGTCAACTGTTCACTATGGTATACTATGGTGTGGAAAGAAAAATAACTTTCCACACCATAGCATAAAACCACAAAAATCATATCTAATCATAAAATAATAAGATAAGTAACAAAGACAATAAGTTATTTTGAACATTCAAAAACCACATGACAAATTAATAAAATTTTCGTAGTCTGTGAAACGAAATGTGTAAAACACGTTTTTATTAAATGTATATTGGCATGGCTTCTGGGCTTTTAAGTCATTGTAAAACGCGTTCCGTCTCCAAAGTCTATTGAGAATGATAAACATAGTAATATTACTTTTTTCCTGATTTTATGGGAAAATTCAATTATGCAATCCGAAATAAGCAAAATATAGGCAACTTTGTAAGATATTTTACATCACTCGATGCGTTAGAAAATTTTCAGGTCAATATTGGACATGATTCTTTTTGGCCCGCCACATACATACGGAATTCCGTTTCGAGATTCCGTTTCGGAATTCCGATTTGGGATTCCGAACCAATGAATGGCAGAATATTTTGGCCACCATAATTCACTAACAAAAATTTTTAACTTTCGTAATGAATTTAAAAAAAACTGTGAATACTGTGATTTTCTGCTCACCTACAAAGCGTGACGATAAGTAAGTAAGTAAGTAATTTTCTGCTCACCTACAAAGCGTGACGATAAGTAAGTAAGTAAGTACCTACTAAGCGTGAAAAATTTGCTTTTGGTGTCCACTTCACCTTAATTTCGAAAAAAAAACACTTAATGACTCTTTTAAATCAACTGGGTACGATCGATCGAACCGATCGACGATTAATTATTTTTTAATTCTATACCAATCAAAATTACCACTTTAACCTATCGTATCCGAATTAAGTCGTAATATTCTCAACTCACCTAGGAAACTGAGTATAAATTTCAAACTTTTATTATCTTTCCCTGACTATCCTAGATGCGGGGGAAATGTTTTCTTTATGGACCTATGTGTCTATGTACGGATCATAAGCTGAAGTGGCAATGGGCCGGCTATATAGCTCAAAGAACCGATAACCGATGGGGAAGAAAAGTTCTCAAGTGGCAATCTCGTACCGGCAGGCGAAGTGTAGGGCGTCCCCCCCCCCCTAGATGGAGTGACGACCTAATTAGATATGCAGGAAATCGATGTATGCAGGTGTGGCTTAGGACCGTGCTTTGTGGCATTCCTTGGGGGCGGCCTATGTTCAGCAGTGGACTTGTAAAGGGCTGTAATGATTATAATGTATCTGTGTATGTACTCATGTTTGTAAATTCATTTGAGGCCTCCTGCCTTAATATACACTGAAAGCTTTGCGTAACTCATAAATAAAACAATCATTATATAAGCATATTTATAACAACCATATTTATTGTAGTAGGTACTTCTATTGGATTATTGTGATTTAATATTATAAGACGACTCTAGCGTAGACAAACCCCTAGAGGTTTACATGCTAGTATTGTACTGGGTAATGTAATATAATTATGCTTAATAAAAAAATGTTCTGCTTTTAAAAGTATTCCATTACGTTTTAAAAAGAAAGATAGATAGAAAGTAAGAAAAAAACATTTTTAAAATCATAAGGACCATTCTGAGGGCATGTTTGCCGCGTGCCGGTTGAAAGCTATCACGGCTTGTTCCGACTCCAAATATAAAACCTCTCATTAAATCTTTGATTTTTGGGAAAATGAAGAAATCACATGGTGCGGGGTGGACTGTACATGGGTTACTTGTTTACGGTGTGTGCCGAGTCATTGTCATAGTACAATAGGACTTGCGACTTCTTGGTCGTTTTTCAGGGTGTAGTACCACTCCGCATCAAATGTCTTTTGCTCATCAAGTGGAGTTGTGCAGACAGGACTCGTCTGGGAAAAAAACGCAATAATTTTTTTAACCCAGGCTTTTTGCCTGTTTTTTTTTTCAGAATGTAACAATATATCCATGTTTCATTTTCTGTCACAATGCTATACACAACATTTGAACGTCCGTGATCAAAATTTATCAATATTTATTTACTGCATGCACCTGCAATTCCCTTGGTGTTGCAGTTGTTCATGTGCGGCAGTACACACTATTAGTTTGTGGTGAGTTCATGAGGAATCCAGCGGGAACAAAGTTTAATGACTTAAATATTGATGTAACTTTTTACATAAGCGACCTCGAATCTCCACATACGTCATGCGCCAACTTTCTTTAGTCAGTCGCCTGTCAGTAGTCACACTTTCCTCAATGATTGCAGTTGAGGGTTGATGTTCACTAATTTTATCATGGGGAGAACATGCACAACGAACTCAACAGAACAACGTGTTACGGTGCTCTAATGAGGTGTTTCCCTTTATTTATTTTACTTTACTTACTATTACTCCTAGGCAGGCAGTGCCAGTTGTCATTTAACAAAGGCCTTGTGTGTTTGCGCATATGCTATATTATAATATTATAATATGTATATATATATATATATATATATATATATACATATTATAATTTTTTTGTTATTACATATTATAACAAAATAGTGTTAGGAGATTTTAATCGAAGGGTTGGGGTGAGGGGGCTTGACTATGAAAGGATATTGGGAACATTTGGTGATGAAAGTATAAATGAGAATTTTGTGATTTTGTGACGAACACTTTCTTTCGTGATAAGATTCACATCTATACGTGGGAAGGAGGTGATGATAGAAGCATAATAGATTTCATAACTGTAGATGAAAGAATGAGGAGCGCAGTGGCGGACGCATCGTTGGCGGCAACTATACGTATCATAACTGCAGCATGGCTCTACCACGTAAAGAATGACAACACGCCGACTCACACCTCAGCGGTTATCATAGCGAAAATCCACGAATTACGGTTTGAACTGCTCGACCATCCACCTTACTACCAGATCTCGTCATAAGCGACTTCCTGTTTTCCTTCACCTGAAATTGGCGCTCGGAGAACAAAAAGTTTAGAAAAGCGGATACTTTTTTTGCTGGAAATGAAGCATTCCATTTTAGTTTTGATTCGTAATTAATAATAGAAGTAGATGTCTATGGGCTACAGTAACCACTTACCATCAAGTGAACTGTGTTTTCATTTGTCACCCTTATCCTATAAAAAACAGGATTTTCTTTTTATGCAAATGTGTGGCCGTTTTTCCGCAATTTCTGCCTTCAGTTTATCAAGTAAAGATGCGTAATATGCTCCTGTAATAGTTTTTTTTCTTTTTGAAGTCCACTGTTGTGACTCTATTTTTGTTTCCAATTTTCACCTACAGTAGTTAATCGTACCAAAACTCGGATTTATTGCGTCTAAACTGCGCCAACAGACCGTTGGAAAAGTTCACTAAAACAAGTCTAACGTGAGCAAACACGGCAACCAACGCGCTGACAGCTTTATCATGCCTAAATCTTGATTTAATATGGGACAAACACGTTTTATGGACATTTTCATAGCCTCTGCTTTCTCCCTCATTTTAATTCGGTAGTCGTCTAGCACAATTAGATATACATTAGCGTTGTTATCGTCAGTAGTTACAGTTTTTGGGCGTCCCGAACGGTCATGGTTTCAAAGCTCTCACGGTCACGTTTGATTTGCATATTAGGCGTATTGCCTTTCAAAAAAATAAATTTAATGTCATCTCGATACTCAGTTTTTTCCATTTTCACAAAAATGCTCATATTGACTCACTCAAACGAATCTCAAATAACAACAAGTGCTTCCATCTTCACGTTCAGGTCGGAAATTTTTCACATTGGTACTTTTTGTATACTTAAAAAAATTGAGGAACTTCAAAAAAGTGTGCATAAAACAAAATATCTATACTAATATAATAAGCGGAAGAGTCTTTCCAGGTATTAGCGTGTTTAAACAAAAAAAAATTGTTTGTTTAAACACGCTAATACCTGGAAAGGATCGTGAGGAAAATACAGTATACCTAGAGATGGGAAATTGTTTCTGCCCGGCGGGAAAAATTGTCAAAAACCCGACATTTTGGGCATAAATTTATTTTTGCCCAATATATGTCCAATTACAAGGCAAAAAAAGGAATACTAAAACGTGGTCAAATTCAATTTTTAACGTAAAATTGTACTTATTAAAGAAATAAAACAAGAAATTTTTATTATTGAACACGTTTTTATTTTAAAATAATAACATTGATATACTTTGTCATGTGAAAATCTTTTAATAAAATAAAACAATATGTACTAATCAAATAATGAAAATATGACTTCTAGCATTAGTAGGAACAATATTGTAAAAATTCTAAAAATCAATATTATTATAGTTCGAATTAAAATCACACTAGAGCATAGAATCATTGTTAACACCCTACCGGTATAATAATTAAAGTATTTTTTATTGTATTACAAGTTCCATTAGCCTAATCACTATCGGTATCATATAAACATTCGCTAATATTTACGAATTCAATATGATTAGTTTGTTGTGAAGTTGAAGCTACTGGTTCCATATCTTCCCATATATCCTCCCTGAGAGAAGATTCCATGTCCTCTTGCATGTGACCCTCCATGGCAGCATCGTGCAACATATCATCATCTGTGTCTTCCATGTCGGACCTTTCTGGAACAGTATCTTCACTGTAAACACGATTAATGTTTTCACCTTTATTTAATAAGTTCCAATTATACGATAAGAAAGTTATTTTCGCCGCTCTTTCTGATGTGAGACGGTTTCTTTTAGCACTATGTATAAATCCCTGTGTGCTGAACGACCGTTCGGTGGCTGCTGACGTGCAGGGTGCAGTCAATACTCTAAGTGCAACTTTACTTAACTGACTTGAGCCACATATCCCCTTCCACCATAAAATGGGATTTACTTTCTCAGCGGCCTTCCAAGTAAATGGTTTGCTCCAAAGACCTTCTTTAGCTTTATATTTAGCCAGGTCAGCAAGACAGTCACTGTTGCAATGCTCAGCGAGGTTATAGATTAGTTCCATGGCTTCAGTTTCTTCCGCCTGATTTAGTTCAATGCCTGCAGATTTAGGATCAAACATGTAGGCCGCATAATGTATGGGTTTTATGCACTGCTTAACTCGTTTTTCAATATAAGTTTTTATGTTCTCCTTGCTGTCGTCATCCAGCATTGTGATTGTTGGTAACACAAATTCTAACTTTGATTTCATGTTTCTTAGCACCATAAATACGTCATGTATGTTGAATTCGTTGCCTTCTAGTTTATAGATACTTTCTGCTATATGCTCAAGAACACTGATGAATTGTTCTATCATAGACCAGAAATCTTCATCTAAAAGTGTAGATTTAATATCGGGCGTTGGCTGAAGGTTTTCATTAACAGCTAAAGTCTGTAGTGCAGCTTTATTAATTTTCAGACTTTTTAGTGCACTGACATGACTGCCCCATCTTGTCTTACAGGATAATTTTAGACTCTGACTAGAGCTTTTTTCTTTTCTAATTTTACTTAATAAAGCACTTAAGAATTGACTTTTTTTAATATTTTTAATAACATCTGTTGCGAGATTTATGAAAGCTTTAACTTCGGGTGCTTTTATTACATCAACGCACAATAAATTCAGAGTGTCAGCAGCACAGTTTAATGGCACAATATGTGGGTATTTGTCTTTTATCGTTTCGAATGACTTTTGGGCATTTCGTGCGTTGTCTCCAATAAGGACCACAAATTTACTCACTCCGTAAGATTTCATTACTTTTTCAGTTTCACAACTTAAATACTCACTTGTGTGCCGATTATGACTTTTTATAAAAACAGGTTCTGGCTTGGATATTAAAAAATTTATAATGCCTTCATTGCAAACATCAGTCCAGCCGTCGCATTGCAAGTGTAGAAAATTTGATGCTTTTAAATCATCACTGATTTCTTTATTCATCTCTTTATATATTTTTTCTAGATATTTAGTTGCAATAGACTTTCTATTAGGCAATTTAATATTTAATTTTTCAAAAATTTTTACCCACAATGGGTGTTCTACCATTGCTAGGGGTGTTCCCGTGATTAATAGAGCCTTCGCAAACTCTTCTCTTAAATCTCTAATATTCTCGGTTGATGTGTTCTCCGAGTTCAATGAAGTGGTTGTGGATTCTGGTGTTAAGTTGGATTGTGAGTTATTGACATCGTTAATTTGTTTTTTTACGGCTTGTGGGCATTTAAAGCAGGTCAGAAGATGTTGCTGCATTTTTATTACATGCCCCTTTTTATAATGCTTTTCGCAAAAAGAGCACTTTACGGAATTGTCTGGTAATTGATGATAGTGCCTCCATATAGTATGATTTTTTGATCTTCCCATAGCGCTAAAACAACAAATATTTTTCATAAAGCAAGCACTTTAGTAAGTAAGTTAAGTTTATTTGTAACTTATTTTACAACCATTTTTTACAAGATTTCTTATTTCTTGTTGTATATCAAAAATATGCAGAGGGTATTAAACATTTATTACTATTTCTCGGAATATCTGATTGGTACACAAAAAAAAAGAAAGACTGACTTACCTTACAAGTAGCAGTAAATTATCACACACTTAATACTAATAATTGCATAAATTGGTTAACCGGAACTAGAATACAACAAACAATGGACACAAATAGAATGCACGTGCGGTAACTGCAACTGACACAGGCGAACTAACAACAAAATGGCGGCGCGGTGTGTTGCCTGGACGCATCCCTCGTCCCGCACCTCTTACTCACTCACTCACTCGGTACAAGTATTTTTTCCCGCTGCGGCGTAATTCGTAACATTTATGTCGTAAACATGGTTTTGTAAAATAAACATATTTAAAAAAGTATGCAAATTCATAAAATAACACCTTTAAATAATTAATCTTAACTAAACTCAACAAGTTAGACCAGCTTCCAATGCTAACATAAATCTTGTAAATCAATTTTGGTACAAAAATGTATGCCCAGATAAATGCCCAAGGACAGAAATTTATCGGCGCTTATTAGGAATTTTCCGAATTTGCCAAAAATGCCTGGGCATTTGCCCATCTCTAAGTATACCTCAATATACCTAGTATTAGTATCAACCAGTATACCTAGGCGAAGCCAGGGCGAGTCCGTAGTTATTAATAATTATACTCAACTATTCTGTTACAGGCAAAGATATTACTCATAAGTTATACTCAGTTAGCGAAGGCCTGGGTATCGCAGGCACGGGAGAGAATGACAGTGCGCCCACGCATCTGACACGATCCGCCAGTGTCGATGCCGTACATGAGGGTGCTCGAGGCCGCCTAAGAAGCGTCGCCTGGCGAGCGAGAACCACCGCACCCAAAGGTAATGCAAAGTATTCTGAAATAAACTCGTAGAAGTAGATCTGTAATTGCCTGTAGAAGCCTCTGGATGCGCTAATTTACGCTGACAAATTTAATACACTTAAGGCCAAATACACGCTACTAAATTTTAAGATGTCGTTAAGTCTCGTGATGACCCTAATAACGCAGTCAATTTGACTAAAAGTGATAGTGACAGCACGAGACTTACGGCATTTTATAATTGAGCAGCGTTTGAGTATTTGGGTTATTATGTTATCAATCAATTAGAAAAAGCCTCTAGGACTTGACATCAAGGCATTAAATACACGCTTTAATAATTTGCTGTAATCACCAATATCATGTGTGGTGAAGACTGTTACTTAAAGTTGGGACACCAGCACACATGTTTGCAGCTTCAGGCCATGCGTGAGAGTAGTACTCCATGCACGACTAACAATTTTTGAAGTGAAAACTTCTTTGTCATCGTGATTTGAAAGTCTATGAAATGTAAAAGCGACAGTAAAAAGTGACAGACAATTCATAGGATTTAACGTCTGAGAAAATGAGATAGGAAGCATTATAGCTCAATGCTCGCGAGAAAAAAGTAAACGCCGCCGAAACGGCGTCGCTTATGCGTTTTGTTCAACAGGGTACGAAGGTACCTATGGAATAAACGAACAGTGAAGAACGGCCAAACCTCAACTTCATAATAGGTAAAATTGACATAAATCTTTTTGTAATGAGTGAATACTATATCAGGTATATCGAAAAGAGTATAAACATTTGAAGGGAAATTAATCTACTCGTCGTAAAAATTTGTGGCTGACCCGTACTTTTAAAAGTAGATTAACAATGTCGAAGATATGTTAAACACGGTCGGATTAAAATATGTCGTTTAAATAAAATAAGTAATAAAATAAATGAGTCCAATGAATTTTTTTTTGTTTTTGAAATTGAAAATTTGAATAAAAAAAGAACCATCGAAACCGGTAGTAGGTACTCTCGTGCGTTTCCCATCTGTATGATTCACTTTTCATAATCTATGATTTTCATATCGAAATGACAGCCACGTGACAGCGGCAGTAAACAGAAAAAAATTAATAAATACAACTAACCATATTGAAAAAAAAACATTCATTAAGAGTTCATGATTTCATAAATTCAGGCCACCTAGCGTCTATTTTACGTACCACCTTGGGTGTCAATCAGTTGTTCGATAAAGTGACCACCTGTAGAATTAAGTAGGCGGCGTTATTATAATTTTACTCGAAAGAAAATATAATGTGTCTAATGTATATATTAAAAGCAGGATTTCATACAAGTTCGTTTGAGACGAAGAGTGACGTTATTTTGACTAGGGCGAGCGAGACAGATGGGTCACCACTTTTACTTTGTGGTGTTGGTTAATATTTATCTGCATCCAAATTAATGTCCTGTCCTATTGCTTGTACTAATAATAGTTCAGAAATTGTGGTGCACAACTAAAATTCAATTATACATAATATAAAGATGTATTTCTATTTCCACAATGATTCTCTAAATTAACAACTTAAGCACTAAGTTACGCAAAGCCTAAAATACTGAGCTACTCTACCGGGGCACCGAACTATAACTAACACTCCTGAACCACCGTGGAGAATCTAACGCTAATAACGATATAAACGAGAGAAAATAAAACTACGAGGAAGGCTAAAACTAACTAGGGAAGCTACCGAGGAGAACGCGTGACGGGGGGGGGGGATGGACTCGCCTTGCGGCAGCTCGATAAAATGCTGAATCAAAACTATAAACTCGATGTACAGTCGCCACCGCAGTGACGTGTGAGAGATAGATAATTATGCTACTTTTATTTAAGAGCGAGACGGATTCATACATGAAAAATTGTTTTTCCTCAATTAAGAAGTAGCATTAGTGTCATACCATTATGGAATCCAGACGTTTAAATTTCAAAAAAATGGCGCGTTTAGTCTGGAAAAAAACACAGAGAAGTTGTACGAGTTTTCTTCCTCGTAAAACTTTTCTGTGGAATTGTTTGTCTTTGTATTGTGTGACTTAGGGACCTCAAAGAAAAGAGCGTATACTCCTTTCTAAAAGGCCGGCAACGCACCTGCAATTCCCATGGTGTTGCGGTTGTTTATGGGCGGCGGTAGTCACTTACAATCAGGTGTGCCGCATCCTCGTTAGCCCTCTCTTCTATAAAAAAGGTGCCGCAGTAATTGAGGTGGTACGCTGTTGCTATTATCTAGACGCGTGTCGGCATTGCACTCACAAATCTTGACAGAAAGACTTTCCCCGGTATCTTGGAGGCAGCTTACATACTTCAATTGCAAAAGGACAAATACCTAGCCCTGGAACAATTATAATTATTTGTCGGTCATACAAATACTTAATCCGTGTGGGATTTGAGCTCGCGACCCTCGGCGTCGCAACTCAATGATAAGCACATCAGTTATTTGTCAGAATTTTAGAAGATTTAGAATAATAGTTGCATACATGAGTTAAAAGTTTACAACATTGTAAAGTTTTTATAGAATACAAGTGAGTAGGCGAATATTAGTTGACAGACAGTTGAGATATTTGTAAAATATAATTTCCATCCAAAATCATAGGCCTTTTTTACTACTTTAAAGCTTAAAATTACTAATGATATTCATAAATTTTTGATTTTTTTTTCTGTAACTGTGCCTATACTGTGTGTCTTATTAGTTAGAAATATAATTTTGATAGAATTCGTAATGAAGATATCCATAGTAGAACCATAGCCCAACTGATCAGAAAACTGAAGTATCAATGGGGCGGCCATATAGTACCAAAGAACCGACAACCGATGTAGGATAAAAGTTCTCGAGTGGCAGAAAGCGAAGTTTAGGGCGGCCTCGTACTAGATAGAGAAGATATGCAGGAAGCAGACGGATGCACGTTGCTCAGGACCGTGTTTTGAGGCTTACTCTGGGAAAGGCCTATGTTCTGCAGTAGATGAAGAGCTGTCATGATGATGATGATGATCTTATTAGTTGGACTATATTCTTATAAAATATTAAGCAAGTTCTATTAAATTTTCGAGGAAAACAACCTGATTAAGGTGTTTATACGTAAACATTTAAATTTAATATGCTTATTATAATGTTAATGTTTGCACAGCAGTTTAATATTTTGTAACACACAAAAAAATCGTTTCAGGAAATTCATATTGGCAGCCAGTTGTAGCACGGCAGTTCCTGCGTCAATCGCCTTTTGGACGAGCTATGCTTCCTCCGAAGTTGTTGACCCAAGCATCGTCAGCGAGCCTGCAGCCATCATCGAATCGTCGACGAGAAGTCAAGTTTGCAGAAACACCGATCACAACCGAACCACCGGTGTGACGCGGGCCGCGGCTCCAGCCCGAGCTGGTGCCGCTCGTAACCACCCCACACTCCGCCACGTACACCACGAGTCCCGCACTTTCACCCACACATACCCTCTCTCCCTGACACCTACCTTTAACATTCGAGCGAACGACGACACCACTGCATATGACAGACTTTTAATTGAAATTTTATTTATTACTAGTATCCTATAGTTGAGCTATATTCAGCCAAAATTGTGAAAACAACGCTAAGAATTATTTGCATAACTTTTTTATCATATTTTACCGTATACGGAAGGCAAACAGATCTTAGCTCATATAGTTAGGAGTATGAACGTATTAAAATGATTTCTTTTGAATAATTATGAAAGTTCGCTTTATTTTTGCAGACATGATTTTCTTGTGCATATCTATAGCGCAGTACCTTTCGAATGATATAAGTGACATTCCGGTCCCTTTCGATATTCACATATTAATATAATAATGATGATATAAACTCAAATATTCCCTGGAGAATATAGAAAATGCACATTTGAGTTTTAACAGGAAAACACTAGCGACAAAATAAGCGCTAAAAGTAAATAATTTTATATTGCCTATATAAAACATATGAAGAGCTTCCTATTAAATAGTACATTATATACGTCTAATGTAATAGTATAGCTTACGTTCGCTCGAAATCTTAATCTCTAACTCTAACTAATTATATATAATATCTCGTTGTAAAGTGAGAGTGACACTATAGTGAAAAGGTGATAAAGAGATTTGACTTGTTGAATTTTATGAGTGAAAAAATAATTTAAAAATGTAATTATTGTGTGGGAAGTAGATTTACATAGCTAGAATAAAAATGTATTTTGTATCATATGTTGCATTGAAAATAAAAACCGCTCAGCGTTGTAAAAACTAATAGCTCTTTATTATATAAAAGTAAATCGATAGAACTGAGCATTGTCGATACAAAATATAGGAAGAAAATCACAAATCACTAACTCGTGTTCGCAATTGTGAATTAATTTCTTTAGCATTTGCGAACTAAATACGAAATTCTAAAGGTATTGTAATGTTAAAATGTAATTGTTTATTAGTTAGTACTTGTATATTAAATGTGTTAAACTCGTGATAAAGTCTTAAAAGTTACTGCAAGAATTCATATTCAGTACGTTGATCATCAAAATGTATCTATTTTCGTGTTCCTTATTCTAAAGTCACATAATTTGTAATATTCAGTCAATAATAAGTGTTGTATAGTAACGATGTTACTTCCTTAGACATAGTCAATGCTTTAAAATCATGTATGTATAATACACTATACATTAGCACCAGTTTAAAAATCAACTGTAAACAATAGTTTTTTTGTTCGTAATTACAGATTGTGAATGAGAAGTAAATATTTAGAGGCCTAAATTTGTAAAATTATGTTATATTGCTATACCTACCACAGTTTATGCTAACTATTAGCATAAACTGTACACATACATTCTTTTCCAGTCTACGTCTTTTATTTACTTCAAATTATATTTTGTTACAATATAATGTTCAATTAACTCTATTGTCATAGTATCCAATACTTTAAATGAGCAATACATTACAACGAATGGTATGTCTTATGGGGTAACAGTTGACCAATTGTGAATTATTATGAAAAGTTTAACATGATTTTTATAATGTTATAATGTTACCACGATTATCTCATCATATTGGGTATCTTATGCTTACAATAAAAATAATTATTTCTAGTACAAAATACAATCCTTATTATGTTTCATATCAAAACAGTCTTGGTAATATCAGAAAAACTTAAAGCGAAACTTAAATTGAATAAAATTATTTATACGGATTTTGTAGCGTTTAATTAACTTATTTTTTAATTCCCCACGTTTTGAGTGCTTTACAGCACCCATGGTCATGGAGGAGATAGATGTTTGACGTCGCAAAGTCATAGTTAGCCAATATTCAGAAACTAAAAGTAGGCTTTAGTTTTTGAATATTCATTTTTGGTCCGATCTACGCAGAACGAGCTTAAATTAATATTAAAAAACTAAAGGTATCCGGGCTAACTATGACATTTGGACGTCAAACATCTCAGGTCTCCTCCGTGACCATGGGTGCTGTAAAGCACTCGAAACGTCGGGAATTAAAAAAATAAGTTAATTTAATGCGATAAAATCCGTATAAGTAGTTTTATTCAATGTGTAGTGTTAATTTAAGAAATCATGTGAAACTTAAACTTAATTTAAATATTTAAAAATATTTTTAATTAATATTTGAGTTCATATTATAATTTTAACTTAGACAGTTTAAATTGTAATTACTAATTGCACATTTGGATAACAACACTTTTGCAACTGATACGAATACGTTAAAATAGGTACGTAAAATCTCTACTTTTAGTATCTAATCTCACCACGAAAAGCCGTGATTGGATATGCAGGTGATTATAGAACAACCTATTTAGATGTTATTTCACGTAATATGAGCGTAATATATTTCACGTCGGTGTTTAGTTGTCGTTGTCGTTGCTTCGTTAATACGTGTCGGATTAGACGGGCAAGTAGTGTCCGAGTCTGTGTATGCCTCGTCGAATATCTAACTTGAACTAATACGTAACCTGAAGATCGTGTAATGAGAACATAACCATAGTGATATAACTATTGGGTTCACTAAAGATGTTCATGTATAAGCATGTATAAGCTATCAGAACCCAAACTACGTGATAGTGTGTCCAAGTGTACTGGGGATACGCTGTTTTGTTCTGATATAACGACATCCTTTGCACAATACATATCGTTCCTCGTCTTGTCGTATTAGATGCTACCTTAATAATATGTTGTGAAGATTTGAGCGAGTTACATAGTTACGATATATATTTTTACAATTTCATGAATAGAATGCAATACTTTAAATATTATAGTAATTTATCCAACGTCATTCAAGAAAAAAATAATAACATCGTTTAAAAAACAAAGAGATTGATAAATTCTGCTTTGAGGTTAATTTAATAAAGGGGATTTTTTGTTTGGACTGTATTTTGTATACTTTCATAGCATTTACTAAGTACTTATTCAGATTTAATTTCATTCATGTTAAGTTAAGAAGTTAAGTTATAGTCTTTGTACGTCCCACTCTCGGGCACATGCTTACCCACATTTCTGAGATGGTTTTAGGGCAAGGGAATATTTGTAGCACTGCCTCAATACGTGTTGGCAAACTTCACGTCTTCGAAATATTTTTTTATTTCTCAGATATGCAGGTTTTCTCACGATGTTTCCTTCAACGCCGAGCACGTGGTAAATCAGCACTTAATATTGTAATTAACAATTTCATTAGTGCCGGCGGGAATTGAACCCGGGTTGCTCGCGTACTGAGACCTTAATTTTGATATGTACAGCAAGCGCTTAGCCTCTGAGCTACCACGGCTCATTTGAGATTATTATTATAGAAGATAGCTGACATCGGTTTATTTTTTTTATAATCCAATTATTTATGGTTTATGAATAAGGTAAGGATGGAATCACATTATTCTCAACGTTATTCCTTTTTTAGATCTACAAAATGTAGGCCTTGCTCTTATGGTGTATTAAATAACATTGGAAAAGGCTAGTGAAATTTTGATAACTTAATAACACGTAGATTTGAAATAATAAATTTATAAGGATAAAACAACATTTTTAATCGACTTTATTACACATACATATGTATATATTGTGTATTAAAATTCATATGTGAAGGGTTTTTGAACAGAGTATTTTGTCAGAAATGATTTTGTTAAGGTATTATGTAAAAGAATATACCACAGGAATTGAAATAATAGTATATAACTTCATACTGGCCATAAATATTTAAGCGCTCAAGAAAGTTTTATCCTACTAATTTAAAAAGTAAAACCTCTGTATCCGTTTTAAAAGAAAACTAGCAATGGTGGAGTTATAGACATCTGTAATCAATATAAAGCAAATAATGCGTTGTAATCTTCATTTTTATTAAATTATAGGATAATATTTCCTCGTTTGTTTAAGCCGCCTAAATACATAAAGTTAATTTTTACTTTAATAATCTTCTTAATGGAAAATAAACGCATTGACGTATGTAAATAAAAATAAATTTAAATAAAAATACGCAATAATTAAAAGAACTAAAATTGATTTCAATCCTAAGAAAACTTACTTGAATTTGTATCGGAACAAAAAAAGATTCATGTGTATTCGTATTTTTTTTAATTCTTCATAATATTATTTACGTTGTAAGTCAATAGTTATTGTGGCCACTATAGGCCAAAACTGAAATTATGTTTTTTTTTTTAATTTGTATAAAATGTTGATGATATTTAAATTTGTGCGTGCTCGAAAAAATATTAAAAGCACTTATTCTTCATAAATAAAATCTAATCTCTTAAAAGGAACGTTTTGCAATTTTATTTACACATAATGTTTTCTAAAACTTTCTTTTTTAAAACCTAAACTTTTCAAACGTTCTTGCGTCTTGTAACTCGTACGATTTAATTAAAAAAGGAAAAGAGAAGTTGTACATGATATTGTTTGTGATTTTTTTAAAGTCGTAAATGGTCTTCCACTTATGTTAAAATTTACTATTCTGTACAATGTGTTGTGATGTCCAAACATTTTGTCCTTTCAATCAGCTGTATGAAATATTAAAGAATTATGTAACAATTTATTTTATTTACTATACATAAATGTAATTTATTATACTAACGCGATGTATAAATGACAAGGCTTTACAAATTATATGTTTTTCCGTCAAAGTAACAAAACGCTGTTTTTTACTTGTTTTTATTAGGTCTGGGTAAAATGTCCTCAATATAATACGTTAGTATTACGAGGGTGGATTGAAAAGTACTCGGCCTAACACAGATCCATTCAATTCTAAAAATCAAATCAACCCACATTATTTAGTTCAGTTCAGACTAGTTCATTGTGTGAAGTTCGAAACGTGTGCGATAATTAGTTGTGATTTTATAAATTTATTAACAAAGTAATCGGACATAATTTCCGCGAA